AACACCTGAGGCCACCACAGCCACCACCAATGTGACCTCAAGTGCAATGACTCAGGGGACCTCCACCTCAAGCACTGTCCCAGGCAGCACCACTGTTGTGACCTCTGCCTCCGCCACCACTTCTGCTTCCCCAACTCCTGAAGTCTCCACTGCCACCACCACTGTGACSTCACCTGTCACGACTCAGGGGACATCCTCCTCAGCAACTGTCACAGCCACAACCACAGGAGTGACCTCTGCCTCCCCCTCCACTTCTGCTTCCCCCACTCCTGAGGCAACCACAGCCACCACCACTGTGACCTCACCTGCCATGAGTCAGGGGACCTCTTCCGCAACCACCGTCCAGGCCAGTACCACAGGKGTKACTTCTAACTCCGTCAGCAGTCCTGTGGCCACAACTGCCACCACCACCGTGACTTCACCTGCCACAAGTCTGGGGACCTCCTCCTCGGCCACTTTCCCAGCCACCACCACAGGGATGACCTCTGCTTTCGCCACCACTTCTGCTTCCCCGACTCTTGAGGCCAGCACTGCCACCACCACTGTGACCTCACCTGCCACCAGTGAGGGGACGTCTGCCTCGACATCTGTCCCAGCAAGCACAACAGCTGTGACCTCTTCCTCCACCACCTCTTCTCTTTCCACATCTCCTGTGTCCACCACTGTCACCACCTCCGTGATCTCACCTGCCACAGCTCAGGGGACCTCTGCCTCGACCACTCTCATAGCCAGCACCACAGCTGTGACCTCTGCCTCTGCCAGCACTTCTGCTTCCCCAACTCCTCAGGCCACCACTCCCACCACCACCATGACCTCACCTGCCACCACTGAGGGGACGTCTGCCTCGACCACTCTCCCAGCCAGCACTACAGCTGTGACCTCTGCCTCCGCCACCACTTCTGCTTCCCCAACACCTGAGGCAACCACCGCCACCACCACTGTGACCTCACCTGCAACGACTCAGGGGACCTCCACCTCGCGCACTGTCACAGCTACAACCACAGGAGTGACCTCTGCCTCCGCCACCACTTCTGCTTCCCCAACACCTGAGGCAACCACCGCCACCACCACTGTGACCTCACCTGCAACGACTCAGGGGACCTCCACCTCGCGCACTGTCACAGCTACAACCACAGGAGTGACCTCTGCCTCCGCCACCACTTCTGCTTCCCCAACACCTGAGGCAACCACCGCCACCACCACTGTGACCTCACCTGCAACGACTCAGGGGACCTCCACCTCGCGCACTGTCACAGCTACAACCACAGGAGTGACCTCTGCCTCCGCCACCACTTCTGCTTCCCCCACTCCTGAGGCCACCACTCCCACCACCACTGTGACCTCACCTGCCACGACTCAGGGGACCTCTTCCGCAGCTACTGTCCAGGCCAGTACCACAGGTGTGACTTCTACCTCCGCCAGCAGTCCTGTGGCCACCACTGCCACCACCACCGTGACCTCACCTGCCACGACTCAGGGGACCTCTTCCGCAGCTACTGTCCAGGCCAGTACCACAGGTGTGACTTCTACCTCCGCCAGCAGTCCTGTGGCCACCACTGCCACCACCACCGTGACTTCACCTGCCACAAGTCTGGGGACCTCCTCCTCGGCCACTTTCCCAGCCACCACCACAGGAGTGACCTCTGCCTCCGCCACCACTTCTGCTTCCCCCACTCCTGAGGTCACCACTGCCACCCCCACTGTGACCTCACCTGGAACCACTCTGGGGACCTCGTCCTCAGCCACTGTCACAGCCACCACCACAGGAGTGACCTCTGCCTCCGCCACCACTTCTGCTTCCCCAACTCCTGAGGCCACCACCGTCTCCACCACGGTGACCTCACCTGCTACCACTCAGGGGACCTCCACCTCGGGCACTGTCCCAGTCAGCACCACTGTTGTGACCGCTGCCTCCGCCACCACTGCTGCTTCCCCAACTAATGAGGTCACCACTGCCACCACCACCATGACCTCACCTGCCACCACTCAGGGGACCTCTTCTTTGTCCACTCTCCCAGCCACATCCACAGCGTTGACCTCTGTCTCCGCCACCACTTCTTCTTCCCCAACTCCTGTGGCCACCACTGCCACCACCACCATGATCTCACCTGCCACAAGTCAGGGGACCTCTGCCTCGACCAGTGTCCCAGCCAGCACCTCCACCGTGGCCTCTCCTGCCTGGACTCAGGGCACTTCTTCCTCCTCCTCTTCATACCCTGTTCTGGGAACCACTAGCATTGCTAGTGCAAATTCGAGCCCCAGCATGGTCACCTCCATGCCATCGCCCACATCCTCTTCTCCCTCTACCACTTCTAGGGTTACATCTACAACCACTTCAACTACCACCTCCATTGTTCCTAGCACAAGTGGTAAGTAATTTCTCATTTTTATTTTGTAATTTTTCTCTTTTTTTAAAGTTTTCTCTTCATCTTTTTGATTCGTATACTTTCATAGTTCATTTACTCTTTTTATATTTTCCGATCTTTTCCCTTTTAACATTTTAACTTTTTACCTTATTATGTCCATTTTTTTCTGTCTGGTTTCTCAATATTTTAATGCTCTTTCATCATATTAAATTTGAATTCACGGTTGTTTGTGCATGTGCATGAGATTTAATCTTCATGAGCTTGATGTCATTAGTTTTTATGTGTATGTTTGACATCTTTTTCACTCTCCACATTAACTCTCATTTTTGTCCTTCTTCTCTAGAGGAGGTATACTGTCTTTTATTCGTTTTTAACTCTACCTTCATGACCTTGAGGTATTGTCTCTCTTTATGTTGTAACTTTTTCTGACTGCAGATCTTGGACTTGTCTCTGTTTATTCTGCTTTTGGTGTGATATCTGCCCACACATTTTCTCTTAGAATGTCATGGCCCATTTATTTACTATGTATATTATATAATGTAAGACTTTATATATTTTTTCCAGATGAGCAAAGGATAGTTGTCCTTAATTAAATAAAATACAGTCATTATAACATTCCTTGAGCTAGATTTCTCCTGGGCCTTCTCATATATTTATGATCTGTTTCCTGCAGTATTTGCCCAATCCATGTTTAACTCATAAAAATAAAAGGATGTTCTTCCTCTCTTGGCCAGGGGATTCAGGACTTTATAGTTTCTTCTTAAGTTATCTGGGTTCTGCGCAGTTGTCTTTCTCTTGTTGAGCTCTTTGGTTTTCTGACAAGGGCCCCCAAGCTTCTTCAGGTCGGAGACCTGAGTCTTGTGTCTGTAGAACGTCCCATACGTATTGCCTCAGTTCATTTGTGTTGCTGTGACATATTACCTGATGATTGGTAAAGTATAAGCAAAGGGTGTTTATTTGGTTCATGATTCTGGTGACTAGAACAGCATGGAGCTGGCATATGGGCATTGCTTCCCTGGCTGCATCCCAATATAAAGAGTAAGCTCCAGGCACATGCAGAAGAGTCATGTGTGCAAGTTAGGAAGCAGGAGCTTGGGGACAGGCCAGTCTTGCCTTTTATTTTATTTATTTGTTTATTTTTGGTGGTGTTGGTGATTGAACCCAGGGCCTTGTGCACGCGAGGAAAGCACTTGACCAGCTGAGTTATATCCCCAGCCCCAGCCTTGCTTTTTTATAACAACCTCTTGAGGAAGACCCTCCTCACCCTGCCAGATCAGCATTAATCCATTCATGAGGATGAGGCCCAGATGGACCTAGTTAGCTTCTGTGTTGGACTTACTTCCTCAAGGTCCTACCACTCAATGGGGGACWAAGATTTCAGCATATGCATCTTTGGGGGGCACACCTCAACCCATGCAGGTGTTGCACAAAGTTGCCTGCACTCCCATGGGGCTCACCACTTGTGYTGGTCACCACTCTGAAGGCTAATGGTTTCCACTTCTGTCCTCTTTCTCTTCCCCAGAGGCTGTACTTCCCTTTAGGCTGTTAGGCAACAGATGAGGACCCCCAAGTTTTGTTTTTGTATCTTTTCACAAACCTGTGCTTGGTTTTGTGAAACGATATAACACTTAAATCAGGTCTGAGCATCTTCAGTAATGAGAGAGGGAGAAGGGAGAAGAACGAACTGATTTAGGATTTATGGCTCTCCCGTGTGCCGGGACCCTTGACTTAGAGGCTGCAGGATGTGGCCCCTGCTCTCTGAGTCTGGTGGGGTTAGAACAGAAAGCAGTCTTTGCAGAGTATACACGTCCTTCATGTGCACACCCTGAAATCTGCTCTACACGGGCACAACAATATTCCAGAAAAGTCAAAAAGTGCTTTAGATTTTGCATGTTGATTGGCACGATTCACCAAGAACTGAACCATGTCTTTTTTTTTGGGGGGGGGGTAATCAGGGATTGAATCTAGAGGTGCTTAACCACTGAGTCACATCCGAGCCCCTTTTATTTTTTATTTTTATTTTGAGACAGGGTCTCACTAAGTTACTGAGAGCTTCACTAAGTTGCTGAGATTGGCATCAAACTTTCGATCCTCCTGACTCAGCCTCCTGAGTCACTGGGATTACAGGTGTGCACCACCGCACCTGCCTCCACTTCCTGTCTTTTTAAACTATGTCTAGACTCTCCCTCAAGTTCCATGAGCCAGGAAATATGAGAAGCATCCTACAGAGATGTTAACAGTAATGAGTTCTTCTGACTCGGGGGTTGAGGGACAATGACCACGTTCATTCTTAACCTTCATGGAATCTCGATTGGTCCGGTTCCCTGATTTCCYTTATTCCGCCTCCTGTTTTCTCTTCCTGGGTCCTGATGGTGTCACCTGTCACGACACCAGGCTTCTCCTTCCTCATGTACTGAAGTAAAGCAAGCTGAACTCTGAGAAGGGGGATCCAGGCTGCCTCTGCCTGGACTCTTGGACAGGCCTCTTCCTGCCTCCCTTCTCCTGTCTGTAAAGTGGGCATGATCCTAACTCACCTGCGCACCCCAGGTCTCACGAGAGTATCCCATCAGACACTATCATATGCTGTGCAAATACGTGTGGTTGACCAGGACCTTCTGCCTTTCAGTGACCTGCATGAACGGAGGGAAGTGGACAGGAGTGGCCTGTGATTGTCCCCAGGGCTTCACAGGAGATCGATGTCAGTTATTGATCAATGTCTGCCTGAATGGAGGTCTCTGGGATGGGCTCAAGTGTCAGTGTACCAGCCTCTACTACGGGCCACTGTGTGAGATTGTGGTGGAGAGCATCGAGATTGGTACGTGACACCTCACACCCTTCCTCTTCCCAGCGCCAGGCCCAGGGCATCCCACTAGACCCCTGTTCCTGTCCCATTGCGGTGTGTGGCAGAGAGCATGGCCACTTTGGGGATTGATATTAACCTAGTGGTAAGAGAGTTTAAAACATTTTTAAGTGAATAAAAGAAGAAGGTATAATTTAGAACAAAATACCAATTTGACCATAAAATGCAACACAGACGTTCCCCAGCTCAGAATGGTTCGACTTAGGATTTGGGGGCTTTCTCTTGGTGCCCAAGTGATACGCATTCAGTGGGAACCGTACTGCAAAGTGTGAATGTGCATCTTTTCTCGAGAGAATATACCTGACATCCCTCGCTTGGGAAAAGATGCACATTCACACTGCAGTTCCAGCCAGCCCCACGGTCACCCGGGGGGTGCAGGGGAACGACGGGCACTCTACAGGGTTTCTGTTATGATTTTCTGTAGATTCGTGGATGCAACGCCTTTCAGTTTATGATATTTTTTATTTATGATGGGTTTATCCAGATGTAACCCTATYATAAGCTGAGGAACAGAGCACAGGGCAATATGGGTAGAATTTTCTAGGAGAATATAAGACCCAAGGCCCCTTGGGCTCCATCCCTTATCCCTGAGGACTACAGCATACTTAACCTCTCTTTCCAGGAGACAGAGGGTCGAGAGAGACCCAGGTTGCTGCCTCCACCCAGGGTGGGCTTCTGGGGGGTGCAGGTCTCCTTGGTAGGGAGCCCAGAGGTGATGCTTGCTCAGTAAGTGGTGCTCCTGTCACTTCCCTCCAGAGCCACCACCACAGACGGTCACTGCTCAAATGGAACTGACGGTGACCGTGACTAGTGAGCCATACAGTGATAAGCTACAGGACCGGTCTTCTCAGGAATTCAAGAAGTTCAATGAAACATTCACGGAACAGGTAAACCTGGGAGAGCAAGTCCCCAGGGCCCCTCAGTTCCCCCGGGGAGGAGTCCAGAGGGGTTAGGAAAGCAGCTGAGGGCTGTTTCCTCAATGGACTTGTGAGTTCTCAGCTCCCTCATGTCCTCGGACTTGCTAGGGAGGCTGGACACAGGAAACCAACTTCTTCTGGAGGCTGCTGGGTGGAGGAACCCTGGTCTCTGGGAAGGAATCTTTCCATTCCAGGGAGAACTGGGGAGGAGGACTAGGAGGTGCTGAGGGACAGGGCGGCCAGGCTGACCCTCCTGACGTTCCACAGAAAGGCCCAGCAGGCCCCTAGATGGGACGTCTGGGATGATAGAGTGACCTCTTTCCTTTCAGATGAAAACAATTTATTCTGGAATCCCTGAGTATGAAGGAGTCAACATCACAGGGTTGAGGTGCGTATCTGGGGCTGGGCCTTCGGAGTGGAAGCAGCGGTCCTAGTTATAAAGGCCATTGTGACCAGGCCGTCTGTCCTAGCCTGCTAGGGCTGCCCTGGTGGAACACGTGGACTGGGGGCTTCAGCAAGAGAGAGTGAGCTCGCAGTCCTGGAGGCTGGAAGTCCAAGATGAAGGTGTGGGCAGCGTGGGTTTCTCCTGAGACCTTTCTCTTTGGTTTGCAGATGGCCACCCCCCTGCTGGGTCCTCACATGGTCCTTTTCTCTGTATGCATATCTTGGCTGACTCTTTGTTCAAATTTCCCCTTCTCATAAGGGCAGCAATCAATAATTGAATGAGGGTCCATCCCAATAGCTCCATTTTAACTTCACCTGCATCCTGTTCTGAGGCTTGGAGATTAGAGTTACAACCCATGAATTGGCGGTCTGACTCTAACACCATTCAGCCCCTAACACCTCTCAACGATGATTTCGCCTCTTTTCCCCACTGGATGCTCATCAGGAGTGAGGGAGGCCAGCCGGGCTGTTTCCATTGCACAAATGGAAAAACTGAGGCTCAGAGAGATGCAGCGACTCACCTCAGGGGTCCGTTACAGAGTGGCAGAGCCGAGATTCAATCCTGAAATGTCAGGAAGAGACCATCTGGAAAACCCAAAGCCACAGTGGGAGCCAGGGATAGATACCCTGTTGTCTTCAGAGATGCAGCCAAATAATTGAGCTGGAGGAGGGAGGCGCCCAGGGGAAAGGCTCCCAAGTCCACCCCTTCCTGCGTTCACCTACCCGTCCTCCTGGGATTCTGTCCTGTAGAATCTTCCCCTAGGAGCTGCCCCAATTTTATGAAACCATTTGATCCGTGCTGGCCAACAGGGCTGGCACGAGTCCCCTGAGTCCCCCATGGATCATGAGGAAAATCTCTTCTCGTGGGTTAGCAGAACCATGATGGACAGTTTTCATAAGGAACTTAAACGGCATTGCTATTTTTTGTGTGTGGCCCTGGGGACTGAAGTCTGCACCCTGGGCATGCTAGGTAAGGGCTGGACCAAAGGACCAAAGGACTTGGGCACCCTTGGATCTTGGTACTTGTAAGGGGTCCTGGAACTAGACTGCAATGGCTCTTAAGAGATGACTACATTATGATTCATGTAATTACCCTATAGTGCACATTCTAATAGATAATATTATATAATTTGATTTTTCCACATGCTGTATTAGTCAATGTGCTACTCTAATTTTCTTCTATGAGTATTTCCCCCAAATCTGCTGTTGATAGTTAAGCCTCTCAATACAGCATCAAGAAGAAAAAAGGAAGAGGGCATTAGACTTCTAGAATTTAGGAATCTTGGATGGTGCTTACGAGGCCAGACTTTCACTGTGTTTTTAAATCCAGAAAAGACTCATTCTCAGGGTACACATAATCCCTGTGCTCCCTGAGAGGTGCTCTCTGGGGCCTGCAGTGTGAGGTTGCTGATCATCAAACTTCCTGATTCCTTCTGTAAACACAGGAGATGGCCTTCATAAACTCCAGGGCTGGCTGAGTTGTTCTCAATGTTCTCAGAGCACTGACCTTGACTTCTAAACCCTCCTAAGTAGATTAAACCCTAATCTTGGGATTTTTTTTTTTTTTTTTTTTTTGGCACCAGGGATTGAACCCAGAGGTGCTTAACCACTGAGTCACATCCTCAGCCCTTTTAAATATTTTACTTAGAGACAGGGTCTCTCTGAGTTGCTTAGAGCCTCACTAATTTGCTGACACTGGCTTTGAACTCACAACCCTCCTGCCTCAGCCTCCGGAGCTGCTGGGAATACAGGCGTGTGCCACCACTGTGCCTGTCCCTTTTTGATTGGAATTTCAATCATCTGGGAGCTGGAGATCATTTTAGCGTTGACAAAAATATATGTGATTAGAAAAAAAAATGCATGTCTGTGCCTTTGGATTTCTGCATGTCATTTTAAGAGACTCAGAGACCTTCTGCAGCCCTTCACCTGTCCCTAGGGAGCTGTGACCTCTGAGAGAGCCCCTGCAGTGACCGCCTACCCTGAGACCAAGCCTCCTTCAGGACACCTCAGTGTCTTGCTGGGTTACAGCTAGTGACAGTTTAAGGATGGCTTTTCCATGTTCTCCATCCACATCCAACCACATGGCTGAGGCTCCCTGGAGGCTGCCCAGGTCCCTCCTCCCATTGTCGAAGGCTTCACTTAGGTGCCATTATAGAAAGACCTGTGGCAAAGGGCCCACCGTGGTGCCTGGGACAGAGCATTTAACCTAGGAGGCCTCAGGTCACCGTTTTAATGGTCCCTCCCCCAGCTCTGCCTCCCCTAGAGAGCAGATGGGCAGAGCCAGTGGGAAGGGCGGGCACCAAGGCCACCAGGGGAGGATGCTCAAGGACGTCATTGTCTCCTCCTCCTCAGGCAGGGCAGTGTGGTGGTGGAGCATGACGTCATCCTGAAGACCAAGTTCACCCCAGAATACAAGGAAGTCTTCAAGAAGGTCACGGAGGAGGTGAAGGAAAAAATCGAGAATGCAACCAGAGAGCTGATAAGCAACAATGATACCTGCACAGGTGGGCTCCTGGGTCCAGGTGGGGCTGCCCGAGAGAAGTCCTTCATGTTTGTCATCCTGGGAGGTGGGGGGAAGGGAGGGAGATGGCAGCTCACTGAGATCCAGGAATCAGCCCCTCGGCCCTTCACTCAGACTGGCAGATTCCAAGAGAGCCTCGAAAAGGAGGCCGCAGAGCCCAGGGGAGTCGGGCCGAGTCCTACAGGGCACCGGAAGGGTCCAGGACAGCGGGGGCTGCTGGGAAGTGAGGACCAGTGTGATTTATTATGCAGTGAATCTTCTGAACACGAGAGAGGTGCGGGCATCCTGAGAACAAAGGGACCCAGGGAGCAGCAGGCAGGGCCTCTGGAAGCTGGAAGAGAGGCTGGCGCTGCCTCTGCACAGAGCTGCTTCCTGTGTCTCCGTCACATCCCCACCCCCCTCACATGCTCACACGCCTCAGCCCCGTGGGGACACTGGACGGGCTGGTTGTAAGAGGCTCCTTGTGTCTCCTTCACAGCCATGCTGTGCTTCAACTCAACTGCCACCAAGGTGCAGAACATTACAGTCACCCAGTACGATCCTGAAGGTAGGTGACACGGTGGTTTCAGGAAGAGCTGGAGAGGTGAGGGGGCAGTGGGAAGCCAGGGCTCCTGGCGCCTGGTCACAGCTGCTCTCGTGTCCCCTCAGAGGAATGCCGGAAGAAGGCTGGGGAGGAATTTGCCCCCTACTTCACGGTGGAGTACAAGGACCAGAAGCCCTACTGCATCACGCCCTGCATGGCCGGCTTCAATGCTTCCTGGGACTGCCACTACGGCAAGTGCCAGCTGCAGCGYAGTGGCCCCCAGTGCTAGTGAGTACCCCACCCTACCCCCGCCCAGCCCCTGGGGTCTACCCAAGATGCTGTCTGAAGGTCAAGATCATGGGACTGGGTCCCAGCATCTCCTGAATGCATCAGGTCACAAAGGACTTGGCAGAACATGCATGGCCAAGCCCCCTGGCCAGGTCCAGAGTAGGCTCCGTAGCTGCTCCTCCTGGTGTCCTCTCTGTGCTGGGTGACACTGAGGGTGGGGTGAGCTCCCCGGGAGCAAAAGGAGGGTCCCAGCTTCAGGACATTTCCAGCCTGACATGGAGGCAGGGGCTTGCTTCCAGGGAAAGGACCGCCATCTCCTGTGAGCAAAATAGGGAAAGAAGGCCACACATCTCCACGGGCAGGAGAGAGCCCACGAAGCCCAGTCCTAGAGGGACAAAAGCCAAAAAGACGTTGCCAACCTAAACCGAATTAGAGAGAGTGGCAGCCGGCGAGAGCACTGGGTGGGCAGGCGGGAGCCGCACTCCCCTCACTCGCCTCAGCCCCCTCGGGTGGAGGCCTGCGAGGTCCTTCTGGGACAGCTTCCTGGGGGAGGACCTTCCACGCTGGCCAGAGAAGAAAAGAGCCGGGCCTCAGAGGGGGGACAGGGGCCCCAGATCAGGGCCGGGGACAGATTTTCCGGATAGAGAGGAGAACTGAAAATGAGGACCGTTAATGGGTGGGTGGAAGGGTCACCTTGTGGCGCAGCCCAGGGAAGTCCGGGCTGGGCCAGCTGTCCCAAGTCCTGGGTTGCTACTGTGGGCAAACCTAGGGGCCTGGCACTGGGTGTTGGACCCACTGAAGTGCTAGCCCAGGGACACTGGGCTTGGTCTCCGTCCATCCTCCTTACCCCACACTCTCCTTCCCCCTTCCCCGCTTCAGACACCCAGGGGTCAGGGCCCAGCTCTGAGATTGGTGCTGACCCCACTCTCACCCCCGCTGCCCCTCTCCCCCATCTTAGCTGCCTGATCACAGAGACTCACTGGTACCGCGGAGAGACCTGTGAGTGGGGCATCCAGAAGAGCCTGGTGTACGGACTCGCGGGCGCGGGCGGTGCCGTGGTGCTGCTGGTCATCGTGGTCCTCCTGGTGTTCACRCTCCGCTCCAGGAGAGAGGTGAAGAGGTGAGCCACGGCTGCCCCTCCCCTCTTTCCTCCAGGTCCCCCCTCCTCCTCCCCCCTGCTCAGATCCTCTGTCTTCAGTCTCTCCAACCCCGAGGTGAAAAGTAAGAAGCCGAAAGCAGGGACCTAGCTTGTCCTTGGGTCCTCGTCCCTGCTCCCTGATCATCATGGGGTCTCTGTACATCTCTATCAACAGGCAAAAGGCCACAGTGTCTCAGTTGTACCAGTGGCAAGAAGACAATGGTGGATCTGTCCCTGGGACCCTCCGAAACATTGGCTTTGACATCCACGAAGGTATGGGCAAACTCCGCTGGACTCAGAATTCGTGAGGACACACAGAGAGGGACCAGGGGGAACACTGGTGCTTGAAGGAGGGAAGGGGGCTTGGGTACAGTGGGGCATGCCTGTAATCTCAATGAAGTGGGGGGTGGAGGCAGGAGGATCACAAGTTCTAGGTCAACCTGGGTAACTTAGTGAAGCCTTGTGTCAAAATAAAAAATAAAAAGGGCTGTGGTGTAGCTCAATGGTAGAACACCCCTTGGTTCAATCCCTAGTACAAAAAAAAGTAGGGGCAAGAGGGGAGCATTTGCCATTTCCCAAATATTTGGTGCCACATTGGAAACCCTATTTCCATGGCTGGTTCCTGCAAGACCCTGGGCAGGGCATAAGCCTGGGCACTGCTTGGCTAGACCACTGGGAAGGCACAGGCAACCTGACAGTGCTAGATTTCTCTAGAACTCAAAACGGCCTATGTGGACATAGATTTGTGCCCAGAAGTTGGTGAACTCATTAGCAAGTAAGTTGCATCTCAGCAAAGAGATTAACATTCAATTTTGTTAGGTCAAATGCACATGTTAAAAGTTCTAGAAACAAAGTTTTTAAATTGCAAAGATGAAAAATCCTACAATGAGAAAATTTCTCAGAAGAGTCTTTAACTTCTAAGAAGGGGAAGGTTGGAATTGAGGAAAAAGTCCAATTCATTCACAAAAAGGCAGAAAAGGGGAGGAAGAGAAAAATGAGAAGACAAATAGCACAAAATAAGGTGGCAGAAAGTATTCAAACCTATCCATAGTCATAAAAAATGCAAGTGGATTAAACACTCCAGTTAAAAGAGTGAATTTTTTTTTAAATCTAGCTGTTTATCATGGATGAGAGGAACATGAAAACAGATGGACAGAAATATAAAAAGAACATGGAARAAGGAAAACAGGATTGCTAGACAAAATATTTGTTGTTCTCTGCATAGCTACATTCGTTGTGGGAATATAAATTTTAAGTTAGAGAGAGAGAGAGAGATGAAAAGGATCTAAATTTTTTAAATTTTTTTTAAAGAGAGAGAGAACTTTTTAATATTTATTTTTTAGTTTTCGGCGGACACAACATCTTTGTTTTTGTATGTGGTGCTGAGGATCGAACCCGGGCMKCACGCATGCCAGGCAAGCGCGCTACCGCTTGAGCCACATCCCYAGCCCTGAAAAGAATCTATATTGGAAAATGGCTTACTATGTTAGACACAGTCCCACTTGTGTCCAATGGGTACAGTTTCAAAATATGAAAAGCGAAGATTGACAAGACTGTGTGGAAAAATGGACAAGTCCACCATCATGGTGGGAGATTTTAAAAATACCTGTAGTAACTGATTCATCCAGCAGACAAAAAGTCATCAGGAATATAGAATACTTGTACCCAATAACTGGCAGCCTTGGTATAATTCAGAACATCATGTTCAACAACTGAAGGGAACATAGTTATAACAAGAGAATATAGAAGACTCATTTGATGGCCATGCACAAGGCCACCAAAAAAAAAAGGCCTTAACAAATTTTCAAAACAAATATATAAGTCAGACTACATTATATGATCATAATGCAAGCAATTTAGAAGTCAATACCAAAAATATTTCTGGGAATGAAAACAAAAAATTTTGTATCTTTGGAAACTAAGTTTCTAAAAAAAAAAACTCATGAGCTAAGCAGGAAATCATATGGAAGTTATAAAATACTTGGATATAAGGGATTATGAAAATACTTGGCATGAGAACTTGTGGGGCAGTTACGACTATACTCAGAAAGAAATGTACAGCCTCAAAAGACTTATAACTGGAAGCTTTGGGGGTGAAGCAGTTTARGTAGTTTGCCATGTTTTCAACGGTTTTCAGTTTCAAGGGTGTGGAATGAACCCCCTCGCCCTCTATCGGGTGAGCAGAAATGAGACCTTATCTTCCTAACCACCTGTCTCTGGGCGGGGGGGCTTTCTCCTCCTCTAGAAAGAGAATATTACACCCACCTGGACTCCATCTACAGTAACTTCCAGCYCTCTCTGAATCACATAGACCCTGCAAAAAAGGTAAGAACAGCCTGGGTGAGACTCTCACCTCCCTCCACTCYGAGGTGCCATCTTCCCCAGGACACAATGGGACCTTCAGCAAGTAAAGCCAGGTGTATGGTTTGTTGGTCCAGGCAATGGTCCCTGGAAAATGAGCATAACCTGGGAGGGCAGTTGGTAGGGGAGGTGGAGAAGGTGGAATCTACCCTTCCTCTTCCTCCTCTGTGATTTCCCTCTCCATTGTAAGTATGTCCATCATGGCCAATTTATTTAGTTATTTTAATTTTTAAGCAACCATCAACATCAGAACAATAGTAAATACTTACATGCCTCACCCAAATAGTGATGTTTAACATGCTGTCATGTTTTCTTTCTTCGTATCTACCTATCAATTCAATCATTCAATCCTAGAGACTCAGGAGGCTGAGGCACGAGGTTTGCAAGTTCAAGGCCAGCCTCAGAAACTTAATGATTCTCTCAACAACATAGGGAGAAAATGTTTCAAAATAAAAAGGGCAGGGGATATAGTTTGTTGGAAAGGTACACCTCAGTTCAATCCCCAGTATTTTAAAAAGGAGGGGAATAAATTTTTTTTTCTGAGCCATTTGAAAGTCAATTGCATACATTATGACACTCTCTCCCGAAACACCTCCACACATATTCCCAAATACTATTATTATACCCAATAAGTTGATAATAATTCCATAATATCATCCAATAATCAATTTTTCCAACTGATCTAAGGGCATCTTTTATAAGTTTTTTTAAGAGAGAGAGAGGAGAGAGAGAGAGAGAGAGAGAGAGAGAGAGAGAGAATTTTTTAATATTTATTTTTTAGTTTTAGGTGGACACAGTATCTTTATTTTATTTTTATGTGGTGCTGAGGATCGAACCCAGCGCCCCATGCATGCCAAGTGAGCGCACTACCGCTTGAGCCACATCCCCAGCCCTATTACTTTTTTTTTAATATGTGGATATAAATTTCATTTGGTGAATTTTGTTGTTTCTTTGGCATTTGTATCTATAACTGGCTTTTAAACATACATCGTGTCGTTTTGAAAGTCTAGGATGGTTGTCTGCAGGAGGGGCCCATACTCTGTATTTGCCTGATTATTTCCTGGTGGTCTCATTTAACTTGTCCTTCAATCCTYGGTAATTCCTACAAACTGGAGGTTAGGTCTAGAGGCTTAATTAAATTCAGCTTAAACATCTTTGTTATGTCTTAGATAATGTTATTGCATCACCCAAGAGAAACACAACATCAGGTTGTCCCATGGAGACTGAGGCCATGACTGGTTCCCTGGGAGAAGGTGACCACTTCTTAATGACCTCATTAATATTATTTCATCTGGGTAGATATTTGAGGACAGAAGAATCACCAAGTGTGATTGGCCTCAGATACTGTACTTCCCAGAGAGAGAGAGAGAGAGAGAAAGCAAATCTTGGGACAAAAAATGAAATCCYTGGCCAGGCTTCCTGTAAACCCTCCTGATGAGGGAGGGATGATACCATGTGTTTGTGCTGGATTCCAGGTAATAGGACAAGTTCAAAGCTGAGATTTTCCTAGGCCCGAGTCTCTAATGCTTTCAAAACCCAAATAACTCATGGGCCCAGCCCTCATTGAATTCTGTTTCTCTTTTCAGGTCCAAATTCAGAGGCCCCAGGTGGTAATGACAGCCTTGTAAAGCAAAGCAGTTTTGTGTGGCGCCGTGGGATCTGGGAGTGAGGGGACCCCAGCTGGGCTAAGCTTGGTGGAACATTTCCCCATGGAGAGCGCGCCCCAGGAGTTGTTGGGAAACAGCCACTGCACATACCAAAGAGGAAGAGGARAGAGAAACAACAAACTCAGCTTCTGCTTGTAAAGTCGTGTAGAAGCACCGGGGAGGCTCCAGAGGGCTTGTGGTGATGCCAGGCGAGGCCTTCTTGCCCATTTCCTGGGAGGTTCTTCTGAGCGCGCCAGCCCACGTTCAGCACCAAGGACAGCGCCCGGCCTACCGGCTTGCAGCTGGGACCGCTTCCACCCCAGGACTGCGCTTTGCAACCTACACAAGACTCATCTAAGGACCCTTGCATCCCATTTTCGTAAAAGGCRTCTATTTTTAAATAATGTAAATATTTACAGGATAAATACATAGTATGTATCTTTGGGTTTCTAAGATTATGAATAAAGTTCTTATTTTTATGGGTTGTGATTTTTCGTGAATAAATATTAATAACATATATTTATAATAACTCAAGACAACAAAAGCAATTTTGTTAGAATTTCCATGGTTCCCAGACCTTTCTCCGGTTGCCAGCAGTCTACAGTGTCACCCGCCAGGCCCTTTTTCTTCCTCCTTCCATAATGTAGGTTTGATGAGATGGGGGGTCTAGAGGTGGTGAGGGGGGGTAGCTCTGCACTCTGTAAAGATACCATCCCAAGTCTTCTCCAGCGTCACCTCTGGTCCCAGAGAATGCCATGAGCAAGACCACACCCACCCACCTCACAAGAGACAGGGACTCATTCCCCCTGGGGAGAACCAGTTCTCCTGGAATGGTCACATTTCTTTCCATAGCTCTAGAGAGAGGGAGTCCTGGGTTCTATCTCCAGTTTTCTCATCCAGCCCCTGAGTTAAACTGGGGGACCAAAAGCAGGATCATGTGAATATTTGGACTCAGTCTGGTCTTCCACTGAATAAGGACTAGATCATTTCTAAAGTCTGTCTCTTCACTGTCACTTAACATTTTGGAGAGGCTTTGTGAAGATTCCCGGTGTGCAGCTCAGGATACATTTTGTACTGGACACCTCTCCCTCCCGCCACCGCACAGCCCCATCTAAGACAGAGCCTAGACTCTGCTGCCCCCTCGTGGATGCCTCCAGAATCTGCAGGCACCATTCAGGTTTTCAGTCATTTCCTCCTGGGCTTCAGCCATGAGAAATTTTTAACCTACCCTTGATTCGTTTCCATATTTACTATCCAAATCTTGAGCTCCTCAAACGTGTATGGAGGCAGAATTCTTCACCTTAAGACCTGCATCCTGCCTCTACGGGTCTGGGCATCTGTGGTCATGAGAGGGGATATTTATTAGGGCTGCTGACCCCTGCTCCCATCTGGAAGGACATTATCCACCTTCACACCTTCCTGCTCTCTCCTCCCATCTACTCAGTGGAGAAGCAGGAGAGACGAGCCAAACCCAGAGGCTGCCCAGGTCCGATTCTTGGCAAGCTATTCATTAGCCGGGTGAGTGTGAGAAAGTGACTTCTTCCCTCTGGACCCCTGTTGTCTCATCTGCAAAAAGTCAGGGACCAGTTACCAAGTGCCAAGCACTGTTCACCATCCTCCGTTTGCAAATGGAGGGCAACGGAGGCAAAGAGATACCCAGTAACTTGCCCGGGATCATGCCATCAGTGGGTGGGAAGCTGAGATTACAAATTAACAAGGCCAGCGGTCAAGTCCATGTCCTTGACCATCAGTCACGTGTTGTGGGACATGAGATTAACTGGATGAATACCTGTAAGGTGCCTGGTATGTAAATAGTTCTAAAAAGAGAAAGAGGGAGAGAGAGACAGGTAGGGAAAGAAGGAAGGAAGGAGTGAAGGAGAGAGAGAGAGAGAGAGAGCATGGAGGGAGAGAAGGAYGGAAGGGAGAGATGGAGAAGAAAAGAAGAAAGGGAACATCTGCTTCCTCCTTCACTATTCTCTGTCCGGCATCCCTCCTCTCTTCTTGAGCTTCCTCCTGCAACCACAGAAAAGTGATGGATTGGGTTGGGGCAAGATGACAGGAAGACCTTGTGGCTTTGCAGAAACATGGAAATGCAAATGCACAGAGATGTGCAAAACACCTGGAGGCAGACACACCAAGGCACACGAAGGAGGTTCTGGTGGGGGCCTCAGGGCGGGGGAAGTGGGGCTCACCTGCGCCCTTGGCTATGTGCACAGCCTGCCTGCCAGCCTGCCTGCCCTTTGGTACATTAGCTCAGACCCAGTTGGTAGCATCCAACAGCCTCACAGCTGCACCCCCACCATCCCCACAGCCTGACCTATTGCAGGTTCGTCTCTCCGACAGCAGCCCATGGTTCCTTCCAATGAGGTCACTCACCTGCCCAAAGCACGGAAGCCTCACTCTCTTATTAAAGCAAACTCCACATTCCTCAGCATGGTTTTCAAGGTCCCTGGAATTGGGGCTCCATCTTCCCCTCCACCCCACATCCTGGTCACACAGACTACTGGAATGCCACCCTCTCCCTTCAGCAGATTCTCCGCCCACAGCTTCCTCTCTAGAAACTGCAACTCCCGTTCTGCTTCCTCCAGGAAGCCCTCTTGGAGAGGATCCCTCTCAATTAACCTCTCCCGTCTGCGTCTCCATGACATTGCTATGTACACTTGGCGCATCCCACTCTCCACCCTGTTCGAGGGTGAGGACGGGGTTTTGTTCCCCTCTGGACTCCACAGAGCCTAACAGTGCCTTGTGCATAGAAGAGGCTATTAATGCTCATTAAAGTTAATTGAGTCAAAACTCATCTCTGCCAGATTTTCGGCTTCCCTCCCACAGCCAAGCCTCCCCCTGTCTGGAAGGGATCAAGGCTAAAGGAAAAGCCTGCATAGCTTTTTCTCTCCCTCCCAGGGGGCCCTGGTTTGAGAATAAACAGCATCCTGATCCTTCCTCTCCTTCTCAGGTTGATTCAGGTCCCCCTCAGTCACCCAGAGACCTTGGGGAGCGGGACAAGTAGGAAATGGGGCTGGAAGTTCAAGGACCACCTCCTGACAAATCGATGACCCCAATGCCACTTGCCTACCCTCAAAATGTGTGGAGGAGGAAAAATCATTTTCCAAAAGCATCTTGTCTGATCCAGACCTCCTGCGTCAGATTATATTGTGGTGTTTTAGAGAACAGGAGGGTCTTGGCATTTAGACCTCGGAGGACCTGTTCGATGTGACTCTGTAGATGGCGTTTAAATGACACCCCCACGTCGGGGGGGCCTGATTCACCGGCGATGATACAGCAGGTGGGGGTGCTGGCGGCTTCCTAGGCTGGGCTGCCTGACAAGAGGCAGAGCTCACCGGGGAGCCAAGCAGCTAAGGAAATTTACTGCGTGTTGGAGCCAGGGAAAGTGGAATTGAACTTGGGCGATAATCAGCCTGATTAGCTTTGTGCCTCCTGGAGGGAGCTGAGGGCGGGAGGCAGAGCTAGGGAGGGGGTGCGGGGGAGCCGGGTCAGCCAGCATCAAGGTGGAGGAGGCTCAGGAGCTGGGGTTTGCTGAGGTCAGGAATCACTGGGCCTCAGGAGAGCGCAGGAAGCGGCAAATCCAGAGGAGACACACGGTGCCGGGAGCCAGGGTGGGTCCAGAGCAGTGACCAGGATAGAGTCTGGCGACAGGTAAATGCAGCATAAAGGGCGAGGCAGCCAGGACCCAGGGGAAGGACTAAGGGCAGAGTTCCGGGCCCGTGGTACCTCTTCTGGTGCCGGCCTCATGAAAATCTCAAGATCGGCTGCCAGCATCCCCATCTTCAGGTCCCTCAGGGACTTGGCCTCTGCCAGGTGACACTGGGTAGGAGGCAGGAGTCCCCAGCCTTAATTCTGGGATAGGCCATCGTTCTCATAGGGTGGCCACAGGAGCCCCTGACCTGAGATGCAGCCTTAGTCCCCTGGTGGGGTAAGGCACCGGCACCTGTTTATGTAAGATGAAATGGAGTCTGTGGGCAAAGAGGATCCACAGTGCCTGGTGAGGACCGAGAAACAGGCCACCGACAGGCCCCTTCAGGGTGGCATCTCCAAGCTTCCAAACTGTCCTAATTGCAGCAAGAGCCCGTCCACTTATGAACCCACTGTGGATGCCAGGCCTGTGCCAAGCCATGTGCCTCTGTCAACCCCTAGCTCCCCACCCCAGGCACCCAACCTGCTGTGCAGAGGAAGGAAGGGAAGGGACCCCCCAGCCCTCGGGGCCTCCCAGCAAGGCTGGTCAACAACTGTCACACTGCCCTGGGGAACTCCCGGCCTCTGGGCTTTCTACTACCACGACATGTCACATGTGCCTTGTGTTAGGAAGGGTGGAGACCTCCGCATCACTCCATTTGATCCACCCCATTGCTCTGGACCCACAGTGAGGCAGCCCACCAGCCCCTTTGCACCAGTGAGCACCCAGGAAGGAGGGAAGCAGCCTGCTGGGTGGCGCTTCACCAGGCGAGGACATACCAAGGCCTGTGGTGGGGACAGACTCAGGCAAGCACACAGCTTTCTCCAGTCCCAGGCTGGGCCCCAGGGCCTCCATGGCCAGCAGAGCCAGCTTTCTCCTAACGCATGCAGGAGAGGGGAGGTTCTCTCCTCAGGGTACAGAGGATCTCTTTCTGCACCACCAGGGTCGACCAGATGGTCGGAGAGGGACCACTCGCCTGCTCTTCCTGTGTCCCAGGCTGAGCTAAAACCTTCCTGGGCGGCTGGTTTTCTCCACACCTCCCTCTTTTTCAGAATGGACTGTGCTTTGCAGAGACCTGGGTTGACTCTCTCCGGACCCGGGATGTGGTCTGATAAGTCAGGGATGCCCAGGAGTGTCACTGCCCTGATGCGCCCTGCAAGTCCCAGGGGTTTCCTGCTGGAACCTCACGGCAGGCTGATCCTGGGTGAGGCAGCCCACCATAGGGGAAGGGCCCACGGAGGAAGGCTGCTCAGCTCTTGCCTGGGTCAGGAAGCACAGAGACCATGAAGGG